ACACCCTACATAAGCCATGGACTTCCTCTTTCTCACTGCCGAGTATTGTTTGCGCATATCGCTAGGTTAGTGGTAGCAACGTTATGGAGCCCTTTTCCTAGTCTTGTATTTGTTCCTAGTTCTAGTCTAGTCTAGCCTCATTGTGTTATTTGATTGCCTGATTCTCTACCTGCCTTGGATTTCTCTCGCCTTATCGTTTGGTCTCTGTTTGCCCATTTACTGGACTATCGCCTGTTTGTGGATTACCCGTTTGCCTTGCCCTCTGGATTACGTTCACAGATCGAAGACCCTCACCTGCCTAAGGAATACTCTTTGCCTTGCCTGTGATGTACCTGTGTTGTTGTCTGACCCTTGCCCGTTCTTTGACCACACCTTTCTAATAAAGCCTTGCACGTGGATCCGCACGTCTCATGTTCTGATTACTCCGTAACATCTTTGTGATAGAAATGCTACAGCCAGTAATTTCTTGAACAAGAACATGTGGAAATCAAAACATGCAAACTCAGAGCGAGGGTTTAAACTTGTATTTTGAAGTCGCAATGTTAGCATATAGCAAACAGTTAGCATATTTAGAAAGATACCCTGCTAAAAAAAGCCTAAGCTAATGGGCTGGTTTTAGCTAATCATCCACCCTGGTCAGCTGGCTGGTTTTAGAGGGGTTTTGACCACTTTTTTAGCTGGTCAGGCTGGGGAAACCAGCTGGAACAACCATCTACTGTAAAACCAGCTTGGCCAGGCTGGTTTTGAGTACTCGAATTTAATCGAGGAATCGTGACAGCCCTATTAGTATTATTTTTTAATATTTGTTTTTCATCACTCAATTATCCTCATTACATTTTATTGTGTTATATATATAAAAATCAAGCCTTTTACCCTGCTTTTATTGAGACTGAAATATCATGCTCTCACTGTGTTCTAAAATATGTAATTTTTGTTAGTTCCTTCATTTTTAACACTTATGCAGTGTTAAAAAAAATAATTTTCCTTATTTAAATAATGGTTCAATCTTTCTGGCAGTATACTTGAGGGGGACCATAGTCTGAGTGATACTATCTGATGTATAAACATGGCAAGAGTTAATTAATTTTTTACCATTATTGTCCTGATAACTCACCAGCAGTGTAGCAAGTGTTGAGTGGCTGGCTGACGTTACTGGGCATGCTTTTTAAACACTTCATCAGCTTAGTCTCCGCCCCCTTGTGCCTCTTCGTGATCACATGACCCATTACCCAGGTGGTGTCTTTATACAGCACCTGTGGCGAGTAACAGAACAAACCTAATGCTCAGTGATTGAGCATTATTAATACAGTGAGTGATTTATTGTACTGAGTAGGGGACCATTACATGTAAATACTTGAAAAAGTAGTTGAAATAAATGAACCTTAAAGAGAGTTCACCCAAAACACTCATACTCAGACCATCCAAGATGTAGCTGACTTTTTTTTTCAGTAAAACATTTTTAGCTTAAACTATGATCCTTGGTGATTCATAAAATGCAAGTCCACATGTTGTAAATAATGTTAAGTTTCTTGCACAGACTGATTGTTTCACTTCATAAGAACTCAATATATCATCAGGAACCATGAGTATTAATTTTGTGTTGCAATTTTGTCTGTATATTCTTTTATGCCTCTCAAAGGGACGAGAGCTGTGGACTACATTTTATGAGTCACCAAGGACCACGGTTTCAGCTAAAAACTTCTGTACACTTCTACTGAAGAAAGAAAAAGTCACCTACATCTTGGATGGCCTGAGGGTCAGTAAATTAAATGCAAATTGTAAAACCTGACTTGAAAGTCCAAAACCTGAACTGAAATAACCTAACAAATTAATTGGGGCTAAAGCAGTTCAATAAACGACAATTAAAGTTCATGCAATCTCACTAATTTGATTCAGGTTCAATGAGTAAGGATAATTTTATGACAGCAGTGGTTGTAAATCAAATGTAAGCTAGCTAATACAGCCCTAATTACTAGCTCAAATGAGTTAATGTGTAGACCTATTCCTACCAGTTAAAATGTAGTCTGTTTTTTTTTTACTTTTAATTTAATGTTTTTAATGCTTCAAATAGCAATTTTAGATTGTAATGTTTTAATGTTCTACTAATAACCATAGAAGGTACAGCTGTCAAAAAACCAAAGAAAGGCTGCATGGCAGGGGAACTGCCGATCAACTGAATGTGCATGTAGCAACCATGTTAAAATGTTTATATACCTTAAAAACAATGTCATTAAATCTTGGGCGCAATACATTAAACAATACATACATTCGGTTGTAGCCTATATTTTTATTTAATTGATCTATTATTTAAGTTGCATTTTCTGTATACTTTTATTTTTGGACTGATAATGAAGTCAAATAATTATATGTGAGAGATTCAGTGGTAATTAGCCTGCCCCTGACCAGGTTAGTTTCTCAGCATAAGTTGCCTCTGTGCACTGATTACCTGGTGTAGCTAATCACAGTTGTTAGTAGAACATTAGATTTTGTATTACACAAGGATGCTATTTGGTTTTAACTTGAAATTCTTACAAATTCTTACAGATCAATCTAAGTCATACAATTTGATTGCACTTATGGTCTTGGAGGTTAGGTTCCATCTCCCATCATGCACTGTAGCTCAAACAGATCATGAAAATGACTGATCTACTACTTTATTGCTTATATTATTGCAATGGTGTTGTTGTGCCTCAGGGCTCAGTTCTTGGACCACTTCTCTTCTCTGTCTACATGGCATCACTAGGTTCTGTCATTCAGAAACATGGCTTTTCATATCACTGCTATGCTGATGACACTCAACTCTACCTCTCATTCCATCCTGATGATCCGACGATAGCTGCTCGCACATATCTGTACTTGACAGTGATGTTATTGAGGGACCGGTAATCAATACAAGGCCTCAAGCCTCCGTCCTTCTTAGCCACGAAGAAAAACTGGAAGCAGCAGGGGACATGGACGATCGGATATATCCTTGTTGTAGAGCCTCAGAAAAGTACTCCTCCATGGCCTTCTGTTCAGGGATGGAAAGTGAGTAGATTTTACTTTTGGGCACTGGTTCATCAGGAAGAATGTCGATGGCACAGTCCCATGGTCTGTGAGGTGGTTATTGGGAGGCTCGTGTCGGGCAGAATACATCACGGAAGGGGGCGTAGTCGGTGGAAATGTCAATGGAGCAATTTTCAAGGGGACTTTCAATGGATGTGGAGTTAACTGGAAGCACTGGAACAGACGGAACTGGTTTGGGTAGTTCGGGAAAACAGTCTGGAAAGCAGTCGTTACCCCACTTCAGAATCTCTCCGGTGGACCATGGATTATGGGATGATAAACGATGGATAAACGATGGATTATGGGACACGAGCCATGGGCGCCCCAACACTATCCCTGCGGTGGAATCCTCCAGAACCAATAAACAGATCCTTTCCCTGTGGAGCTGACCGACTTGTAACCAGATGGGACCCACACAATATCGAACTCTTCCTCTCACAAGGGACTTGCCGGTTATCGATTGGATCTTGTACGAGATGTCATTGAGTCTCTTCTTAAGTTGGAGTTGGTTACATAAGTCGGCGGAAATGAAGTTGCCGGCTGACCCAGAGTCGAGGAGGGCATAGACTGAAACACAATGAAGAGGAGTTGCAATCTGAACAGTAGTGGTTAGAGGTTTTATATTGACTGAAGAGGTAGAGACCACACTCACCACGGGTCGTGGAGGACGAATGGGACATGCCCTTATTACATGTCCGTCCTTGCCGCAGTATAAGCATAATCCCTGGGTCAGCCGGCGTCGACGTTCAGCCGAAGTGAGTCGGGCATTGTCGATCTGCATGGGTTTGGGGTTTGGTTCTGGAGAGCTGGGATATTCTGACTGGCGGAGAAAGATAGCTGGCTTTTGGCACAAATGTCCCTCCATACAGTCATGAATCCGATTGGCAACACGGATGGAGAGTTGAATGAAACGCTCTAGCCCCATGGTGTCGTCGTAGGCAGAGAGATGCAACCGCAGCGAGGATTCTAATCCTTGACAGTAAGTGGTCAACAGGGAGTGTTCGTTCCAACCACTAGAGGCTGCTAAGGTGCAGAAACGGAGAGCCTAATCCTGATTAGAACTCTGACCTTTTTTTAAATCATACAACTGCTCACCAATTGAAGCATCTCCGGCGGGTCGTCCGAAAACCTCTCGTAAATGAGTGAGGATTGCACTTAGACTTTGTGTGGCCGGTCCGTTCTGGTGCCACAATGACTCCACCCATTGAAGCGCTCGACCTGTTAACAGGGTTAGAACATATGCAACTTTAGCCCTCTCTGTGGGAAAATTATGCGGTTGCATCTCTAGGGCGAGCGAACATTGCATGAGAAAGCCATTGCTTTCATCCGCCGAGCCATAGTAGGGCGCTGGATTGACCATGGGACTGGTAGTGTAGATCGGAACCGAAGAAGAAGTACTGGGTGCGGAAGCCGGAGCTGGTGCTGGTGCAGGTGCAGTGGTTTGAGTGAGAACTCTTCTCATGGCATCCACCAGTTCTTGGAATGGATTGGGGTCTGTTTAATTCATGATGGTAAGGTCTGGTCTTCTGTAACGGGAAGTCAGACTCGAGACGCAAGCGAGTTAGAATCAAACAGACAGATTTATTGAACAGTATGAAGGAGATCACGGAAATGGTGAGTCTAGTAGACTTAGAGTCCTTAACTGAATTGGTAACTGATAATGATATTCTTGATTACCAGGACTGACGGAGACAATGAGGATCGTGGGCTTTCCAGGAACTGGTGTAACAGCCAGTTGCCAGCCACCGCCAGCGATTTTGATGATTTTCACTAAAATTTGATGGCCTCCAGAATATTTTGCTGTATGAATGCAATACACCAAAATAAAGATCAGAGCCTCTACTTTTAAACAAAAAAAAATCTGTTTTATTCTAGCTTAAAGCATTCTTTTTTTATCAACACTTGAATATAGGTAGGTTTCATAAAAATGCATAATTTTGAGCAAAAAGGTGAGAAAATACAATTTTTATCAAAAACTACATCTGGGTAATATTCAGTACGATTATCAAAGCATAAATCCAGTTAATCGCTTCTATCAACACCTCCAAAGCTTGCACAGACATATACCACTTCCTGGATCAACATTTTACTGAAAACTACAGTTTTCATTTATATGCCGTCTATTGCTGATGATCGCATTATTTTTCATATGCATCTGTTTACATAAGAGATCGCTCATTTCTCCGTCCTGTACACGTGTTTTTGTTCGGGAGGTTTTGTACTCGTTCAGATGTGTAATAGCGCCCCCGAGTGTATAACAGTGAAAACACGAAAAGCCGTAAAAACTCGTCTTTGGCGGGGAAGCGTTGTCTTCTAAAAGACGAGATAACTCGTCAATGGCGGGGAAAGAGTT